CCCCCCCCATCAAAATTGGGCAATTTCGAGCCCCCAAATACTTTGAAGACTATTTCTGAAAGACTTAATTATGTGGGTGGTACAGTGTCATGAAGTTCGTTGTACCTCTAGGGAGACACGAAGGCTTAAATGCTAACCAAATTATCTGAAGGATTGGAAAATCTGTTCAATACAACTATTGAAGTAATTTGGGTAGCATTTAGGCCTTTTCCCTAAAGGTACAACGAACGTCGTGGTAAGCACTGTGTCTGTGTACCACCCACCTAGTGCAGTTGAATGCAGTTGTATAACTTTTGTTTAAAAAAACTGTATTGAGCCACCTTAACTTTTTGTCCACCAAACACCACGCAATTATAACAAAACAATCGTATATTTATTATTTCATCGGAGAAAAACTCGAATGTCTCGTAAAATCTTCAGAATTTGCCCCAAGCCATAATATAACAATGATACAATGATACAATGCCCGATAACTTAGGAACGAGAAGGAACGAGAATATGAGATGAGCTTTGTTTGAATATATTATAAGGCAATACTGTTCAAGTGATGCTTAAAAATTGGGAAGAAAATTTCGTGTCATGTCACTCTAATCAGCATTGAAGCAGAATTCCGAAACAGTAAGAAGTACTCTTGATTTAATTAATTCTAACGAACTTGAAGTGTTTCTATGACGATCCATAGAAACTATATTAGTGGCATGCTGGATCCTAGTCCTGATCGTCAGGGGAGGCCACTTGACGCTATAAATTTTCAAAAATGTGTATCGACGGAGGAATGGACCGACAAACATTGTTTTTTTTACAACGATGCGAGGTAAACACAAATGTTTCCATACAAACACCGAGTGACCACAGTCGCTACTTGTGAAAAGAGAGCAAGAAATAACACACAAAAACATGTAGTGTTCTATTAAGGCATTATTTGCGGTTCGAACTATGGTTTGAAGCTTGAACGGAACTGAAATTAACTTGTTATGAACAAGTCCCACAACTAAAACATTGAAAGACCAAACTTGCGCCAATAATGTCATATTATTATCGTTTCCTAGCAATGTGATTACAACGGGCGTAGCTGTGAAGAACGCGTACATCCGCGTGGTATAATTTCACATATTTTCAAAATTCTAGAACTTACTGTTATATTCATGCATTTACTGATTAACAACAGCTGCTTAACTTTTTTAGTAGCATCAATTATTTTATCAACACACTCTAATTCCAGAAAGTGCTTCATCTTGGATATAAATAGTCATAAGGCATAGTCATAGAGCTTCATTTTTCTAACCGAGACCTTGGTTTCACAGCCTTTTATCTTGATTTTGAATCACTGCAGATTCTAGTGGACAATCTACAAGACTAATACATTAATACATGCAAATGATGCAATGCAGTGACTAATACGATTGTATGGAGATCCTAAACTAAACTAAAATGAGCAACGTATTCATAAAGCTCAGTATTCAGTATTGTCATTTGCCAAGGTAACGGCGGTCTTTCACGGACAATCTCACACTTTTATATTGCCATGCCTCTTTCTGGCCGCATTATTAATTACTCTCCTCTGCAAGTATCCCACGTGTCACGTGTGATACAATGATATTCTTTTCTTAATACAGACTGTGAGAAGTTCAAACTGAACAGATAGTTCCTTAATAGTTAATACTACCATTACAAGTCGATATATCAACTTTTGTTTACAATACGGGTACGTTGTCTTTGTTTTGACCGTAACCGTACTAACAGTTACCAACAGTACGTAATTAAGATGTAGCCTACAATGTCAATGAAATATAGTGTACGCGCTTATGAAAGACGTTTAAGATTGTATATACTGATAAGTCTAAAAGCAGTTAAAAGCCAGTAGGCCTGTTTTAATAGTTACTGAACACTTTATATCACTTTTAGTGGATTCTTAAAAATTCTGAAAAATAATTATCAAGTTACAAGTATAATAGTCAATACACACGTATCCCTTCTGCTTTGAAGCGTGTCATTTACTTCACAACTGTAAACGTGATGAAATGAAAACAGCCACAAAGTGGAAATTAAACTCTTATCCACTCCACTCCGCGTTTTACAACATGCCCAAAGGTCGCGGGTTCGATTCCCACCGTGGTCAAGGCAAACGTTTCAGCTCGCCTGGTGTGGATCATAGTGGATGCACATTCAGAATAACATCACAAACATGAAATTAAACTCTGTTATCTTGTCATCGTGTATAAAATGTCTTTGCGCAGCAAGTGGCGGATTTAACATTCCGAACTATTTTATGTTTACGTGCATTATACATAACTATGCGTTCATGTGGACTGGAAAAACGAACTTGAAAACGAATATGGACACAGGTTGTTTTCAAACGGAATCAGCATTGAAGCAGAATTCCGAAATAGTAAGAAATGCTCTTGATTTGACTCTAACGAATGTGGAGAGTTTCTATGACGACTCATAGAAACACAGAGTACGAGGAAGCTAAAACATTGAAAGACCAAACTTGCACGAATATTGTCATAATTATTATCTGATTATTATCGTTTCCTAGCAATATGATTACAACGTGCGAAGCTACATCCGCGTGGAATAATTTCACATATTTTCAAAATTCTAGAACTTACCGTAAATTTAGAGTGGCTTTATTATGGCACTCAGTTGTAACACTGTCACAAGTGTTACACAGTGTTAAACAATGTTACATATTCTTACATAGACATAGTGTTCCAGTGCTGTGTTACATAGTGTTACACATTGTTACATAGTGTTACACAGTGCTACATAGTGCTACAGAGTGTTGACAGTGTTACATAGTGTTACACACACTAACCCCACCCCTAACCTCACCTCTAACCCTACTCCTAACCCTACCCCCACCCCTAAACCTACCCCTATCCCTAATAAAGATAGTGTAACACTTGTAATACTGTTACCCGAGTATATATACTTGATAATACACTCTAAATCATGCATCATATGTACCGTAACAATAACATTCATGCATACGATTTTATACTGAAGGAAAGTTGGAACGAGCATTTTGCCCTTTTTCAAACTATAGAGAGAAGACACCTTGATATAGTTGAATATACTTGCAAATTGGTCTGACTATATCGGAATATTTAAAGTGCTCAGAATGTGGGGATGTGCATGCGGCAACAATCTGATCCTTGCACAAGTCAGACGCAAACTGCAGACATTTGTAGAGTTTTACAAATGCATTTTTATCACGTCCTGTCTTCTCATTTAATTAATAATTGTTTTCTTTTATATTTTCGAGATAGATCATCACGATTCTCTTAAGACCTCTTTAAGTGTGAGCCAAAAATATATACAAAGGATCTTTTTAATATAGTAACTGAATAAAGAACTTTGTTTAGCAGTATCAAACGAACAGAAGAAAACTGCTAACTATAAGACAGCATTCTGTTATCATGGAAAGTGAATATACGTGCATGCACCTCGACGTGCACGTGATATATCTTCATATCTTTCGCATTATTGCCGTATCTATTAATTAACTTGAATTTATATCTACATTTTTCATTCAACTAATGATTGTCTTCCATCGCACTGATCTCACGTTCGTTCATCTTCCTGTGACACTAAAACTTGCTGTACTAAAACTTGCTGTACAAAAGAATTGTACAAAAGAATTGAGTAAAAGATCCGAGCTTAGTAGCTTACCAACATTTCGTGACATGTTCACTTTATACCGAACCACGTATTTTAAGTGTTCAGAGGATTATCTTACTGTTGCGTGACCGGCTGTATTATCATGTTCAAATCAACACATCAGAAATGCACGCGATTGTTTAAAATCATAGTATAAACACCTACACTATAGAAAGCGCTGATTGAACTCCTGTTGAATGATATCTATTGGCAAAAGGCAGCAAATGGAATGTGATATAGCGAGCTTCAGAATAGACAGAATAAGTTTATTTACAAAAAAGCTTTTTCCCACCTCATATTTTCCTTCTATAAACAGTGCATTATTCACATTGTTTCATACCATCAACATGCTATTATTGTCATAATTATTTTGTTGTGTTTTACTTAGACCCCTGAGCAACAATATCAGTTGGGAGTTGCATGTCTTTACAAATTACATTGATTTAACGCGCAAACATGCTGATACTTAAGCATGATTTTCCGGTACATTGCGTACTGGTATGTTAGTGTTTATTATAGGCATGGTCATCTCGAGTCTTTACTTGTGTCTTCTTGTAATGAATTAATACAGTAGACGAGGTTTCAACATCGTTATTACGACCTAGCCATATGTCTGATGTCCAATCAATCTTCCAGTCCTGTTCTACAATAACGTTTGGTTTCATTGAATTCCCCCATCGTTTAATATCTTCAATCTCTTCAATGAATCTATTTCTTCTTTTGAAAATCTCTGCAGTATGCCTTTTACTCCCCGCTAGTTTCTTACTAAGCACACTAAGTATGAACACAGTAGAGATGATTATCACTTCGTAAATACATCGCCATATGTTGCCTGATGTGCATACAGTAATAGAAGAATCACATAGTATAGTTTGATTCAAAACGTTGTCGTTTATCATGACTTGGCTTCCTTTAACCAATATTGATGTTGTGTTTGGAGCAAGTCGTTCATATATAGAGCTGTCCTTAGAGAGATGTTCTTCAATTCTTAAGCACCAACGTCGTGTTACGTTCTCGTCAGCGTAAACACGCGTAGTAAATCCTGTGTAATACACAACTGAGAGCAACAATGCCATGGTCAACATAATGTTTAGACACTAATTACACACGTATGTCGACGCCAAAAGTATTTCTATCCTTTCTTATTTCAAAAACCGTAGGAGAAATTTTTAGGATATATGCCAATACGACTCGAGGAGTTAATGTCTACCTAAACAGTAATTTATTGTTTCTGACGTCTAGTATAAGCTCTTGATGATGCACTCATGCATATTTCCGCTCATTGGCCACTCTCATGTTTACTATTCAAAATGCTTTATCTTTAAACCTCCTTGTCGCTAGGCGTTCTCTCAACACTAAAAGCCATATTTATATGGTCATATAAATTGTATGTTGCACAGAGGAAGTAAAAAAGCGCATGCGTTTAACATTAAAATTTACGTTATTAATTCCCATGCATATTGAAGGCGTTTTGTATATAGATGGAAATTTCAATTATAGAGTGTAAATTTTATACATTTTTTTAAGACCTAACCAGGAGTAGCTGTCAAAAATCCAATTATAGGTCCTCTGTATATACAATCTCCAAATTTCCACCTACAAAAACCCTTCAATATTAGTTACATCCAGTGAGATACGCAAATCCTTATATTTATTAATTTCTACTCTGTAAAACACTGCATGTATAAGTGTAATAATGATAGTAAAATAGATTGGATGCATTAGTAAATGGATTTTTTTAAACATATAGTAATTAATTTTTTTCAGAATGATCACTTTTGGCGTTTTGCATTTCATGTTATATTAGCAAGGGTTTTGAAGATGGAAATTTTGAGTGCGAATCTTAATAGAAAAATGCAACAATGTGCCAGGACTTGTTCGATTCCTGCCAGAGGGCGTATTGTTGCATTTTCCGCGACTGTTCCTGGTTAGGTTTAATAAATGTGTAAAATTTACCCTCGAAATTTCCATCTACAAAACCTTTGAGCAATTAATTCTAACGATTGAGATGCCCAGAATCCTGATTTATAATAGCAAGCCCCATTCAGTTGCCGGTGGGTGTGCACCCCCTACCCCTGACCAGAGGAGGTGCAGGGTGTGTGTGCTATTTTTCATGATAAAATATTACAGACAAAATGAGATACGGTAATTTGAGTAATAACATGATGAGAAGCGAACTGTGAACAACAATTGTAATTCAAATACAGTAGTCAAGCAAGACTTTCAAGTAGTCAAGCAAGTTGATGGGCGGGTGGTGCACATGACCGACACAACTCGGCACCAGAGCTGGCAGAACACCCCCCCCCTCCTCCTACCAGATCATGCTGGATCCGTCCCTGAATTATAGAACTGCCCTATTCAGTTATATTTAGAGACAATTTCAGCCGTCAAAATAATGTATTTATGAATCTTTTGTGGCCTAAGGATGGATCGATGGCCTTTACAGTCGTAACAATGGGAGTGTTCCTAAAATATTCTACCAATTCATTTGCTCACACGAATCAATTAATTTGACGAGTTCTTTACCTCTTTGAAAACTTGATAACTTCCTGTGTAATTGATAAACTCCTGTATAATGCACCAATCAGAGACAGGAAGTGACCAGAAATGATCAAATATAGGAAGTTGCGAGTAATTGGTCAAAAGTTTGAAATGATTTGGTTCCTGGCACAGGTTTCGAGTAAGCCCTTCCAGTTACCTAGAGGCTAGATCTACAAGAGCGCATCAGATCAGAATTTCTAACTCTGCATTGATGGAGATCTCGTCCACGTTTTTCGGACATCTGGCCAAAAATAGACCTATTTTTGATTTGATCCAAATTTTGTGGCCAGACCAGCCCAAAATCCAAACGTTGTGTTGCATTTAACAATTCGGCTGACTGGACGCCCCAACTCTCCTAACATTATTTGGAATTACCAACATTTTAACAGCCTAGAAGTCTTTTATTCAGTGTTTTTTTTAGTCTATAAACAATGGAAGTGGCATCATCATGTACATGAACACATTGGAGTTATTTTTTGTCAGCATTAAAGTTACTTATCAGAGATTACATGCATTCCCAACACTATACCAAAAGGTTGGCATGGGTAATAATACGTTGGCATGGGTATAATACGGTCGTATTGTACGGGTTTATATACTCACAAAACTCTTCCATTGCGTGTCAGGAAATGTTATAAAAATAGCTGGAAAGCATAATGCTTCATATAAGCAGATAATGAGCATAAAATCTTCAGTTGACAATTAGTCCAACTACGAATAAATGCCAATGCTCGAAGCAGCTCGATTCCCCACTCGATGGCATTTACCGAATATTGTATCAAGGGTGCAGCGAACGCGCTAGTCAATCACAAAGGCCCGCAATCAATTAACCCACCTTCCCTTGAGAAAAAAATGTTGACTGCTCTACATTGGGAATTCTACACAATGCATAACACTGCATGATGGACTTGGGTGATTTGTGCTGGGTGATGGTATTAATGATATCATTGATTACTCCTTGGGAAATGACCATGCCGTAGATCACCGAAATGGATTGTACAATGGAGGACATGAATGACCAAGAAAAATTTACCTCTCGATAGTGGACAGTGTGGTGTTGCAACAAATATAGACGATTATGTTTAACATTGTACATGCGTTGCTAGGTTACACTTCTAAAAACATTCCTCAACTATTACCTCATTGGCCATGACGTCAGTATATGTCGCTAGGCGCCATTTTGGTTGATTTTAGAGTTTGCTTTAATGGTGACCACTGATCTCATGGTAGTGACGGCGAAATTGTTGAGTTATTTTAGATATTAAAAATTGTCCCGTGGAGGAGAGAGTTTTACACTCTCAGACTCGACATGATCAGGGATTAAGCTAGCATTAAGGATAAATAACGAGTCTGTCTGTATTTAAAGACTACATTTGGTGGAATTCGGTTATGTTGGGGTTCGGTGCAACAAGTAAACAGAAATGGAAAAGCAACATGATAACGTGTATTTATTTAATATTGTCCATTGCAATTAACTAAGATATGGAATAATCAGTCACATTATTAAAAACCCAATTACAGACCATTACATGTACAAACAGGTAGTTTATTTTAAAGCATGCAAACAATTTTCGTAATCAAATCAGTGTATTGGTGCATAATCTTACTTACTGCTAACAATAGACTTTTTTATAACAATTTACTTTTCCACTGCCGCAGTAGCAGAAATCACAATTGTCTCTGAACGTTCCGGGCTAAAGAAAAAATGAAGAAACAAAAACCAAGTTAATTATGGTGGCTCCTTAAATTAAAGTTGCTGGGCCTATTTTTTAAAATAGGTTAAATTGTAAATCAATAACCGTACACTTTGACAGTGGTTTAACATACTATTCCTTGCAAACATCAATGTAGGTCATTTACATAACTTGCATGCTTCCTTATTTAAATAGCTCAGCCGATCAAATTTGATAAAAAATCAGATATTCTAGAGAGATGATCTTAAAGAATAGATAAAAAACTTTGTTTCTTTCTGTATTTAAACAAATAAGGAAAAGTGGACGGGTATTATTAGGACAAAATTTGCTGTTGGCAAGTTGACGCGCCATACAAGCGACATAAACGTCGTTGTCGTCTCGCTATATTTTAATATCAACGATATAACTCGTATATTAAAGGCTTAGCACGCGCAGGAAAACATGGCACATGTCTTTAAAATACATAGTTGAAGGTGATATAAAACTGAGAAACTTTCACACGTTATGTATAAGAACGTTATAGGCCATGGTTTTTACGCTCGGATATTCACGGATAAACGTTTGGATATATATATGATTTTCTGAGAAACGTTTGGATTTATATATGGTCTTCTATATCTATGGCTCTGATGCTGATGGCTTGATGGATAAATTTGTATCTATGTGTATGTTGTAAAATTTATTTAAAGACGCTATAACCTCATCAACACGAGTTGGTTTTCATGAGGGGCGTCACAAATGTGCCATATCATGAGTATTAATATTATAATTACTAATTAGATATTCCTTTTTTCATTTTAAAGGAATAAATAGATTGCGCCTCTTTCACATCCCGAGAAAGGCTGTTCCAAAGTCTTGCCCCACTGTATTTTAAGCTTTTTTACCATGATCGCAGGGACTCCCTTCTCGGTTTTGGAAGAGCTATATCAATATTACTGTATCTAAGATTATAATTAACCTGCATTGAACTATACTCCTAATCAGTGACTCTTTTATATCAGAGGCAGTGTAATCATTTAAAATTTTGTACAAAAGAACTGACTTCATCTTCTGACTTCTTTTTGAAGTCACCCAACCAAGAGATTCAAGAACGAGTGCGCCGGCAATTATTCTTGCCGCACGATTTTGAAATTTTTTGAGTTTATAAAGTGGTTGTTTGCCACAGTGGAGAGCAGTAATCAAAGTAAGGCTGAATCAGGGCATTGTATATCATTTGGATTGTATCCGCAGGGATGAAGTGCCTAGCCCTACGCAAAATTGCAATGATCCGACTTTTTTAAATATTTTTTTCAATATGTTCATCCCATTTAAGATTTTCATTTAGACATTCAAACGAGCTAGTTCTACTAATAGACTTATTGTTGAAAATCACAGGATAATCATAAACTTTAGTACTATAAGATTATATGTCGATCCAATAATCATAAACTTAGTTTTGGTGGGGTTATCCTGCAGTTTATTTCTTGTGAGCCAATTGCTTATTTGGTTTAGGTCAGAGTTTAAGTTATCAATCAGCTCAGTGTAATCATTAGAGGAAGAAAATGTTTGGGAATCATCATTCATCAGCGTATAAACAAGGCAAGTCATTAATATAAAGTGGAAATAACAGAGGCCCTAAAATTGATCCCTGTGGGATACCGCAACGAAATGACGTAATTTTCGAAATTTTGATGTCAATCGACGAACATTGGAAGAAAATGTGTGACGAAACCTAGAGTGACTTGGTCCTTAGCTAATATTTAAGACGTTTTCCGCGGCACGAGGGGAGCGCGCCTAATAAAAATGCTCGCTAGAAACTCCGTTCAAGCCTCTAATAAAAAAGCCTGTGCCTCCGAGGAGGAGAGTGGATTCAGAGAAAAAAACACAAAAAAAGTCATCAAGTTTAGAATAGTTTCTGATAAAGATTAGATTAGGGTTAGATTAAGATTATGTTGTTAAGTTATTGTAATGGTAAATTCGGACGTGTTTAACAATTCACTCATATAGTAAATTCAAAGGTGGAGCTCATGCTGCGTGATTCACTCTGAAAAATAGTCTATATATCTATATAGGATCAACACCCAAGTAAAAAGTGTATTTGATATTTTCACTCCAACTATTCACTCAGACTGTCTTAGTCCAGGAGGGAGAGGTGTATCGTAACCCGAGCAGGGAATTTATGAGAATATGTGACTTTGGTCAATTTTGGGGCGCTGATTTCAAAAATCGATGTTATACGGGCCAATACCGGGGCCTTCAGCCTCGTTTTGGTGGATGCAACCTCGTTTTGGTGCAAATAAAGGTAAATCATTAGTTAGCTTAGATAGGCAAAGTCGTTGGTGATCTTGGTCAATTTCGGTGCGCTGATTTCAAAAATCGATGTTACACAGCAAAATACCGAGACCTTCAACATCGTTTTGGTACGTACAGCCTCGTTTTGGTGCCTATATATGTGCCTTAGATAGCCAAGGAAGATGGTGATTTTGCTCAATTTCGGTGCGCTAATTTCAAAAATCGAAGTTATGCGCAGATATATTGGGACCTCTAGCCTCCTTTTGATAAACATATTCTTGATTTAGTGAAACTATTGGGAAGATCCTACTTAATAAACAAACAAGAAAGCTAGTGATTTCTGTTCTTTTTGATAAAAAGCAATACTGTTGCCCCATTAAATTGAGGTCATGTTATGCATGGCATTACAAACATGTACATTCTGATCACAAACCTTGCATTTTCCTTTTCAAAATTCACTCGTGTCTTCAATTTCCACATCCAAATCATCCTCGTAGTCATCATCGGAGGACGAACTGTTCTCACTCTCCGTGCCTGCGAGTAGC